CGGAGAATGAGAGACTCTCCTTCAGTATTACCTGGAGACTTTATCGACAGTGCTTGAAATGGGCGTAGCGGAGTAGTTTCAAAAATAAAAGTGGGCGTAAAGCGCTGGAAACTGCTTAGCGAAATGGTAACAAGTAAAACACCGGAGTGGCCGCTCTCAGGTTTCTCTCTGCGCACATACATAAAACGCTACAATAATTCTTTGTTATGTAATTTACATATGATTATTTCATAATTAGTTATTTATCAAACTTTGTAGTTAAAGTATTCTTACACATGTAATGGTTTATTGTACATAATTGTTTCATTTATTTAAAAAATTTATATGTGTAAACAAGAGATTACCTGATTTCCCAAGGAAAATGAAAAGTTAAGATGATATGTCAATTTGATGTTTCATATTAATCAAATTTATGTCGTATTTTGGTCAATGTGACATAAAATTGACGTCATTTTGACTTTTCAGTTTTCCTCCAGCACCGAAGCTTTCAGAAACATTTCAGAAACATTGCAACATTGCAACAATATTTTCTGAAATGTTTCTGAAAGCTTCGGTGCTGTATGGGACGTAATGTAATTAAAACATTAATGCGTGCGTAATTTTTGGCGACGGGCATAAATTTCCTTTTCAAAAGTCAATTTGAGCCGACAGGCAGAAGCAAATTAATTTAATCAGCGATTAATTGAACGGGCAGAATTACTGCAAAGTTTACACAGTTCTAATCTCTCTTCGTTAAAGAAAAAATGTTAATATTTCAGTTAACAGCAACACAAAAAAACCTCGGGCAAAATCGCGAGGTGTTTGTGCGGGCGAGTACGAATTAAATCTCTAGTTAAATCGCAATTGCAAATGCGGCAAGTATCGAATCGACCTGTCGCTGCTTTCAGATCCCACGCGAGCAAAACATCGATTCGGAGTCCCGGCGGCACAACGAAGAGAGAACGATCGTCCCGATGTCCCTCTTTGCCGATGTCGTTTCGAATTCACGAGGAGCGACCGTATGTACATATACAATACACGTCGTGCGCGGATCATGTTTATTATCTAAATATAACAGGACTGGCATTTGACCTGCCGCCGGTTCCCCTGCCGGTTCTTGCGACATTGTTTTCAGCGTCACGAGCGCGCGTTATCGTATTTACGCTGTTCACCGTCCGTTGGGGAGATGGACGTGTGTAGGCACAATTATATCGCCCGATATAATACACGGCTCTTCGGTGACGCGTCCTCTTTGCCGCGCATCGCTCCTAAGCGTGAGAGGGCTCCCCCTTGGCAGGACGACCGGTTTTTCCTACGGAGAGACAAACACCTGTTGCCCGTGCAGTTCTACGTCCGGGTCTAATAACGCTCGAAAATGCCGGCGAACAAATTGGGTGAGTTATCGCGTGGAGCTTGAGAGGCCAACGAAGACGACACGATTAACCTTTTAATGGAGCATTGGCGGGGCACGTTCGCCGGATATGCGTATCGTTGCTTTGTCTCGCTCGTTGGCGAGACTAAAGCCTAATCTACAATGTGCTCCCTGCGTCTAGAAACATTCTATTTTGTAGCTAATGTATACGTTTACAAAATTTATGCAAGTTGATAAATTGTATATTATACATTGTATAATCGTACATTGTTGACAAATTTGTTGAGCGTTTTGATCTGTTTATATAAAATAGAATGTTTCTAGATGCAGAAAGCACATTGTAGATTAGACATTAGATTCTCTCCTCTGGATCGCTTCCCAGACGCGAGCTACGTTTTATTGGCAATTGTCTGGCGCAGCTGCGTAATTTAGACGTGAAATTTCAACTAATCAAGTCACTACACTTTTCTGTGCGCAAAATAATTTTGTATCGCACCGCGTGTTAAAATAAGGGAATGTAAATCGAGAGCGTTATAATGATTACAAATTGATGCTACTGAACGAATGTATAATAAAAGAACATGGGAGAAGAGATAGAGAGGGGAGTCCCCTATTACGAGATAGGCTCCTAACGCGAGGTAGCGGAGCTTCTGCTAAATTGATAGGCATCTGTTGGTTCCACCGTGAATTCATTGCCTTGGAGTGATTTCTGTTTAGTGGAAGATTGGTTGTTACATCGTGTAATTGTTGCGGAAAGAGACTGGCCATTGAATTTGGACGGTAAAGACCCTATCTCGTAATAAAGAACTTTCTTTCGACTGTTCTCTCAATGTTTATATTTAAAACATATCTTCTCCGATATCCTTCGTAAATTTATATGGACAATTGTATTATCTACATAAATTCGTAGATCATGTAATTGGATGATTATGGTCGATGATGCTGATCAGCCTTGAAATTTTCAGCCCTCTTAAGCGTGTCCGACAAGACCGATCTGTTACCGTTGGCGCTAAAGCTGCACGAACTTGGATTGACCCTAATTGCCTCCGGAGGTACCGCGCAGGCACTGAGAGACGCCAAGTTGCCGGTGCGAGATGTTTCTGAAATCACAGGAGCGCCTGAGATGCTTGGCGGACGCGTAAAGACTCTTCATCCTGCTGTTCACGCCGGTACGAATGAATTTGCTACCATGAAGTAACCTTTCCATCGTCGTCAAAATGCCGTTTCATTAAATGCGATAAGAATTGTGCGACGGCGCGCACAAGCGACGTGTATCCTCGGAATTTTTACGCTCCTGTTTCCACCGCGACAGGGATTCTCGCCAGGCTGACCGATTCCGACGCGCAGGACCTTCAGAAGCAAAATTACGATCTTATCCAAGTGGTAGTTTGCAATCTCTATCCCTTCGTGAAGACCGTTTCGAAACCGAACGTGGCGGCAGAGGACGCGATTGAAAACATTGATATTGGTGGTGTGACTTTGCTGCGCGCCGCTGCCAAGAATCATGCCAGAGTTACAGTTATCTGTGACCCCGCTGATTACAAAAAGGTCATCAAAGAGATGGACGCCGCTGCCGACAAGAACACCTCGTTGCAGACTAGGTGAGCCTGCGCGATATACAGCAGCATTGCAATCTAGTGTGATAAGATCGCTTGTCCATGTACATACAAAATTCGCAGGCAAATTTTAGCCCTGAAAGCGTTCACTCACACCGCCGAGTACGACAACGCTATCTCGGATTACTTCCGCAAGCAATACAGCGCCGGTGTCTCTCAGCTCACTCTCCGCTACGGCATGAATCCGCATCAGAAGCCCGCGCAGATATTCACCACGCTGGAGAAGCTGCCGTTGGCCGTGCTGAACGGGTCACCTGGCTTCATCAATCTGTGCGACGCGCTGAACGGCTATCAACTGGTGAAGGAATTGAAGTCCGCCCTGAACTTACCAGCGGCGACCTCCTTCAAGCACGTCAGCCCGGCTGGCGCCGCGGTTGGCGTGCCCCTGGACAGCGTACAGGCGAAACTGTGCCAAGTGGAGGATCTTCAAAGTCAGCTTACGCCGTTGGCGACCGCCTACGCTCGTGCACGAGGCGCCGATCGAATGTCAAGTTTCGGCGACTTCGTCGCATTGTCCGAGCCGTGCGACGTTGTAACGGCGAAGATCATCTCGAGGTACACGATGCTTAATATCAACGGTTACAGCATTAATACGATATAGGCCGGTATTCGTAGTCGGATCTTATATTCAAGATCGTCTTGAATTTATCTAAAGATGCTATATGGAACGTTTTATTGGCTATGGAGTATCTAAAGCTGGGGGTCTATTACGGTTCTCGGATTGGGTGAAAATGACGAAAGTGAGCGGCTCTGTCTCTTACTAAAGGGACAGTTAGAAAGAGACAAAGCTACTCACCTTTGTCATTTTCACCCAATTCGAGAACCGTAATAGGTCCCCTGATCTTAAGACGGTTTTGAACACAAAATCTCGCTATGAATACCGGCCACAATCTCAAGAATAAGATTATGACAACACAGTATGTAATACTGATGATATAATAACATTTCTATATTAATTAATCTGTGGTTAACATTTTAGAGAAGTCTCGGACGGTATTATTGCACCTGGCTACTCGGAGGAGGCTCTTGAAATACTGAAGAAGAAAAAGGGTGGCGCATATTGCGTGCTTCAAATCGATCCTTCTTATGCGCCATCTCCGATGGAACGCAAAACTCTGTACGGCCTGGTTATGGAGCAGAAACGTAACGACGCGGTGATCGACAAGTCGGTGTTTAGCAATGTCGTGGCGATGAAGTCCAAGGGTCTGCCGGAAGACGCTATTCGCGATCTGATCGTGGCCACCATCACTGTAAAATATACGCAAAGCAATTCTGTCTGTTATGCCAAAGACGGGCAAGTGATCGGCACGGGGGCCGGACAGCAGTCCAGAATTCATTGCACCAGGCTTGCTGGAGACAAGGCCGATAATTGGTTCGTTATATTTTTATCATACATGTATAAGGAGTGAATAGTCAAGGCATGGAAGCAGTTATAAAAGTTATATGCCTTTGTGTACAGGTGGCTTCGCCAGCACCCAAAGGTAACAGGAATGAAGTTCAAGAAAGGCGTGAAAAGAGCGGAGATCTCGAACGCGATCGACAACTACGTCAACGGGTCCATTGGCAAGGACATGGACGAAGCTACATGGGCCGCCATGTACGAAGTGATTCCTGAAAAACTGTCGGAGAGCGACAAGATCGAGTGGATCAAGAAATTGAATAACGTTGCTCTGAGCAGCGATGCCTTTTTCCCATTTAGAGACAATGTGGACAGGGCTAGACTTGTACGTAGAATTATTATTACCTTTATTTTACAAGTATAATCGTTTTGGCATTTAAACGTCGCAATAATTTAAACGTTACTCGACCGACTTGTCTTTTTCGTAGGTAATCAATTTATTGGGCCTGATACATTTTTCTAATTCTCTCTCTTTTATTATAGAGCGGTGTCAAGTTCATCGCGAGCCCCGCTGGTTCCACAAACGACGCAGCAGTGATTGATGCCTGCAACGAACACGGAATCGTGCTGGCTCACACCGGTTTCCGATTGTTCCATCATTGAATGTATAAAATTTTATACATCGTCACTATTTTTGTACGATGTATAATACTGAGAGATTTCTTCCAATTAATGCTTCAATGTGAAAAGAGCGACAACATAGAAGATATTTTTGTACCGCTTTTTTACTTCTATTAAATTTTACTGGCGCAGCTGCATGTAAAATAGACGTAAACGTTTGTACACATATATTGTTATAGCAGTGATCTGTCGAAAAGTTTATCCCATACATACCATCGCAGATTAAACAATAAATTTCGTAAATTATCGATTCTTTATTGTTAATCAATTGTTCTCTTTTCGCATTCTTTCGGGCGTGATCGAGGAACGGAAAGAAAGATTCTTTTCTAAAGACATCCCGTGACCTTCGACTTATACGGAACGCGATACGTTTGACTCTCGCGACATTCGAAAAACCCGCCGAAAGTTTCAACCATGGACGTTGCGTTAGTTGACGTCCACTTTTTCAGGGGGCGCATCTGAAGCTTGTCGATCGCTTTCAGGTTTTCACTCTAGTCCCGAGATGTGTATTTAAAGCCTTTAAAAGCGTGTCCGGTACGCCCGGTGTCCCGCCAAAGTTTTTGTTTATCGAAATATTAACTGCAACAATAGCGTGGTTCAAGCTCGGGGAGAGGCAAGTCGAGTGACCATGGACGAAGTCGACAACGCCCAGATAATTGTTAGTGAAGTATCCGCGTACAACGCCAAGTGAATTCGATCAGATCCAGATAAATGCATCATCGCCTTTTGACATTTGTTATAAAATTTTTTTGGCGCAAAATTAGACAACGTTGCACCGTTAAATTTACCAGCGCGTTAATTTTACTCAAAATGTTCGCAATCGATGATTAGAAACTGCCTCATTTAAGCGTAACCTTAATCTAAACAAGTCTTTGAAACTCAATCGTGCAGACTTTTTGCAATCGGACTTTTGTCACAGAAGTCTTTTCTTTTTTTACGATAACAGATATTAGAGAAAATCGAGGAGCTCTTGTAAATGAATTGGTAGGATTCCTCTTACGGCAACAGACTTTCATTTTGCGTTTTGCAGGTTATCTCAGATGACGTTTGCCGGAGGGCGGGCATTGCAACGACCTGGATCAGTAGCAACAGATTCGGGATACACGCGTACAAACATACGGACAGATATTCGCAAGGTTGCTAAATTGTATATAGTAAAAATATATGTTCGGTCATTCATCACAATTTTATTAATTTGCAAAAATATACATCGACAGATGTTTCGCGATGTGAATACAAGCCGGAAACAACGAGCCGCTACTTTGTCACACTGAGATTGTGTTTCAGATACCAGAAGTCAATTTGCGCCCTGCGATGCCAAAGTGCACTTCCTCCGACCGGAGATCATACTGTTCTCGCCGCTTTTGCGCAAACTGGTTAACGAGAGCAACGGTATCTTTCTGTCGGTCCAGAAGCTCAAGGCTTCCTCCTCCGGCGACATTAGGCCGGAGCTTCTTAAACACAGCAAACAATATAGATCTATATTGCGAGCCTGCGTGGAGAACCTGCAAGAGATACTACCAAAGGAGCGGTTACCGGAAGAGAAGACTATGTTGGAAAACTTTCTCACTATATTTTATCAAGTGGAATGCGTCTGGCATTTAACGGAGATTCTCTATGTCGACGTTGTACCAGGTAAATTGAGCGAAAATGTATACGTGAAATATAATTTGTTAATCAATGGAGATATGAAATGCTTACGTTAGAATTCTTTTTGTTGTAAATACGTGAAGTTTTTTTTTAAACGCCGCATCGTGTTCTTCAGGCGACGTAGTGCTGCCGCAACTATTGGAGTGGATCAGCTTTCACTTTCCGTCGAGTGAACTGACAGCATCAAAGATCTTGTCGCAGAAGACCATCGGTGCCGATTTGAACAATTCAAACTACTGGGAGGCTGTGATAGGCTGTGCGTTCCATGGCAAATTAAATCTAGTTTGCCGCCTGCTGGCGTTGCACAGCAAAGCGGACCATTCGGCGTTCATTACCGCGGATAATATTATCAGAACAATGCCGGTGTACAATGTGTACGGTGGATATTCTGTAAACGAATTTATTATGCGTTGGAAGCACTGGCAAATGGATCTTTGTTCAAATCTGGAGACCAACTGCTTCGTTATAGATAACGATTTGGAGATGCTCATGAAGGTAAAGTAATGTTAACGTTGGGCAATCCTTTTTTTCTGTTTTATTTTCGTGTAAGGGATAATAGTTTCGCCTTGCAGTTGATAGCGGGCGACGAGTCGGTACTATGGGAATATTCCAGGTATACGAATGCGTGGTATGAATTGTTGGCAGCAAAGTTATTTTATTCAGCCCCCTGCTGCAAACAGCCGGAACTCTCGCGCTACGCTAACAGCGTAGTCGAGAGATGGCAAGCTAACAGACATCTAGATCGCGTGATCCTTGCTTTAATGGAAAACGACTTGTACCAGGTTATCAAAGAGATACAATACATGAGCGATAATGGCTGGTTTGCAGCCCACCTGATGGATCTGTTGTACAAATGCGGGAAATTAAATATTTTTAGCCAAGAAAAGACAAAGTGAGTAGAAATGCGAGTTAAGGGACGATCGCCGCAAGCTGATGTAAGCTGACGAGTGAAAATGTCTTGTTACAGTGTAACTGCGCAGCTTCACGAATCTCTCATACTGGAGTACGGAACTACGCTGATGAGCCAGCGCTCATTGTGGCAGTGTGGCGCGAGTTACTTAATACATTGCCCCACACAAGGCCTGGCTAGGCTAGAGATCCTGTTGCAGTCGCTATCGACGGGCACGGAGGCAAGACTGAACAAAATCATCGATGTGGCGCGGGACAATAATTTGCCGCACGTTGGTAAAATTCGATCTCTCTGTTTCTCTGCCTTGGCTTGAAAGGTTTATAACAAACTTAAGAGAACTGATGCTTAGTTACTAGCATGTGCAAGATCCAAGGGATGAGGAGTATAAGACAGGGAAGATTGGGCAACGCTCTCACGTGGGCGCTCAAGGCACACGACGGCAACTTTACCACATACATCGCGGATCAGTTTTTGAAACATTACGCGGAATACGGGGAACTGGAGTGTCGTGACTTGCTGGAGAACTTGGGCTCCTGCATGTTGGCCAGCGACAGACTCACATTTTTAGGTAGAGGACTATGCGTAACAGCCAACGAGAATGAATAATGATAAATATTTGTCATATACGTATAACAACAATTATTTGTATAATATAATCAAATATATAAATTGTGTAAAAGCCTGCGTCCACGATGCTAGAACTTGCTCCAAGTTCTAGTCTCGGGAAATGTGTAGCCAATCGACTTGCAGCTATTCCATAAAAGCTACAAGTTGTTGGCTACATATTTCTCGGGACTGGAACTTGGATCAAGTCCCAGCATCGTGGGCACGAGTTTTAAGTGTGCATTGTACAGTAATTAATATATGAATTTTACTGTAGGAAAATATTGTGAGTTTCATCATATGTACGGAATGGGCGAGTTCCGCGAGGCAGCGAGTTTATTAGTATCTCTTCTAGTCTCGAATTTGACGCCGAAGTAGTAAGTCGCCGCTTGTTTTCAGGATATTTACGATTGCATACACCTTGCGATGTAAACTCTTGTTTTCTTGGTTTTTAGCTTTTGGTCCATTCTGCTCACGGACGCTATACCGTTGTTGGAAGCGGAAGATGTGATCTTTTCGTCCAACGATTGCTACGAGTTACTACGTTGCGTGGAGGCACACGGGGACGATCCGAAATTTAAAGACAAGATATCCATCTTCCGAATAGGCATCGCACGAAATCTCGCGCGAGCTTTGAGCTTGGAAGGCTGCCAGGCTGAACATTGATCCCATTTGCTGTTATATCATCCATTGTTTAAAGTGGTATCAGTATTTCCCTTTAATAAATTGTAACTAAATTTACAAATACATTTTCTAATTATACTCTTCAGTTTATTTGATCCTGCCGATTATCTCGCACATTGTGTCCCGCATTAGGAAAGAAGAAGCTGCGCAATGTAATGTAAAATTGATTTAATATTATTAAACCTCATTCAAATGATAAAAAAAATTTAATCGAGAAGCTGCAAAAAGTTTATATGTATACGAATTACGAATGTAAATCGGGGAATTTTAAGAAACAGGTGGCTCGAACATATTTGCACTTTCTACAATCTGCATTATACATACGTTTCCTTCTCGAACCGAGGCACAGACGTGTATCTATCTCGTTTTAAGTGTACAAAGTGCAGACGAAGCGAGCTAACCTTCTCCGCGTGTCCCGTCATGCCACCGTTTGTTTACCTATGAAACGCACGTGTGTCTGCACGTGTGTCACAACGTGAGTGAAGTTTTCATTAATTGCCTTTTTCATCGAAGCCTTGTCTAAACGCTAATAATTGTTACGCGTCATTTTTCAGCGCGGAACATGTTCTCCATCACCTTGGTAAACATTGATAGTTATCAGGCGTCCCCGGTGCCCGAGCTGGACGTGACATTCTCGGAGTTCCGTGGCGCCGAGGTAAAAAAGGTGCCGGTAATCAGGGCATTCGGCTCGACCGCTACGGGTGAGTCAAAGCAACATAATCCTGTCACATTTCCTGATACGCCGCAGATTATGTTAAGATATATGCATTGTCATTGCTCCGTACAAAATTTGGGTGCTTTCAGGCAAGAAGACATGCTTGCACATTCACGGTGTCTTTCCGTACATGTATGTCCCATGCACTGTTCAGGAGAATACGGATAGCTACACTTATCAACTGGCCGCGGCGATCGATTCTGCGCTGAACACGTCTTTCGGTTCTGCTATGTCCACCAGCCAGCACGTGTACAAGATCCTACGGGTGTCCGCAATGTAAGGAACTATTCTATTCTATTCTATTCAAGACAAGACACAAGACAAGTATGAGCGTGAGAGCGCGAGAGAGCGATAGAGACTTTCTATTATACATTTCATGTATTAGATGAGTAACGTATGTCTCTTATTGCAGACCTTTCTACGGTTATCACAAAAAGGAGCACTTGTTTTTTAAAATATACTTTTACAATCCGGCCATAATTAAGAGGACGGCGGAATTGCTGCAGGTAAATAGCTCTGCTTTACTGCCTTTTGGCACACGAGGTATAATCATGCAATACTGCGTACCAGTTTAAGGGATAGCGTATTGAACAACAGATTTATCTTCTTTTCAGAGTGGCGTTGTTCTCAATCAGACTCTGCAGCCGTACGAGGCACACATTCCATACATTCTGCAATTTATGATAGATTATAATCTCTATGGTATGAATTTAATAAATTTAAACAGCGTGAAGCACAGACACCCCTTGCAGGGGTGTGCGACAACGGAAGACAGCCAAAGCAGATCTTCGATGGATGTGCTAGACTCGCAAGCGTACCTCCCGATGTCCGTGGCGAGGCAGAGCATGTGCGAGCTGGAAGTGGACGTGCACGCTTCGGAGATTTTCAACAGGCGAAGTATCAGTGAAAATATGGAGCTGAATCCTGGTCTTGCCGCGATCTGGGACGAAGAGAAAGCAAGGAGGGCCGAGGCTGGTCTAGAGGTCGCGAAGTCGCAATTACTATATCCTAAAACGCCCAGCAAAATTGTTCTACCTCCAACGCACAATGATATTTACCAAGCGGGTCAATTATTAAAGAGATTGGACGCGATATCACAAGTATTTCGTTGTTCCATTGGATTAGGATAATTAATATATATCATGTGTATATTGATCTTAATGTTCTTATTTTAGGTCAATGAGACACTTACTCCAAGCACGACGGTATCTTCGTACCCTATTGAAGTAGAAGAAAGTGATGAGGTCTTGAATGCGTCTCATATTCTGAACCATAACGAATCTTTTGTACCTGAAGAAACTCTTGAAAGAGCAATTTCGGATAATTATAAATTGTTGGAACTAGCCTCGTCGGCGTTTTTAGAGGCAACTCGAAGTCAAAGTAACGTAACAGATACTAGTATTTGTAAGTATTTGTTATGCACTGGTATATTACTTAAATGTATTATAAAAATGTCTTTTATTGTATTTTCATTAAAGTGACAATAAATTTTTCTGTTTTGCACACAGTGGATGCAGATGACGTACCCCTAGTAGAACTACTAGCTAACTTGGCGGAAGAAAATGAAACTGCGAGTAATGTGGACGAAGATAGCGTCCTCGGGTCTCAATATTCTGCGTTCAGCGAGCCGATTAAGAATGATCCAGAGGAAGAGGAGATTGAGGATTTAAATATCACAAGTTTAGATCTAGACTTAAGTCCTTGGGAATCAATGCACAGCCAGAGATCCAGTCAATGTGACAATACAGTAAAAGCTGTATACGAAGAGCAGAATACCGAAGTTACAGATAATTCAAACGTTACCGAAGAAAACGGAGACGTTACGCTCGTGAATTTGCCACAAGTTGATGGAGTTGATGACTTGTACGAGGTATTAAATTACGAAAAAGCAAATAATTTAAGTAATGAATATAATACAGCAGTTCAGTGCCTTCTTAAAATAACTGAAGATTCTAAAAGTAATAGCTGTGTTCCGGTGACTAATGTGAGAAGAAATTGTGCCATGTATGTTTCATATAGAAATTTAAGTCTAACGGATATTGTTAAATATATTGTAAATGACCCCAATGGATACTGTTTAAGAAAGGAATTACGCAACTTTGTAAATAGATATAATTTTCATATATTTTTGAAAACCAGCAAGACTTTACGGAGTACAACAAGTGTGACACATCCGCATACTGATACAAGTGTTGTCGTAAAAGACACGCGTTATTTAAAAGATAACGAAGGAAGAATTGTACATAATAAGAAGATAGAGAGAGAATTATATATTGCTCGATGTCAGTTAGAACCAGATCATCGAGACTTAGACGTTTTCGATATAGATGACATAGAAACGCTCGAAACTTTAGAACATTGTGTGGCAGATTATGAAGAAGACAAACGTGACCGTAAACGGGGTTCCGAATCGTGTGTTCAGAAGGAAGTTCTTTTAAGTAGCAGTCACAGATGCTTACATCACGAGCCGTGTAATTTCTCAATACAATTTACAATATCGAATGTTGATGGAGCTACAGCCACCGATTCGAGTGATAGTGAACCTGAGGCTGATGTGACAATCAATGCACAAGAGAACTGCGTGTGCGCTTATAAATCCGGTAAAAAGAATGTACTGCAAAATACAGTTCAAACCACACCGAGAAAAAGAAAGTTTGATCTTCAAGAAGACGACTACGAGTCACCTGGTAAACGAAGAAACGTGGCTGTTAAAACGCCAAAAGGAAGATACGAATCTCCAGGCAAAGCGCCTCGAAGTCCGCGTTCGTCGGGAAATTACTCGCCTCTTGATATTACTGTAACATCTCCAAAGTCCAGTAGAAGTCCTGCTCGACAATGCAAACAATCTCCGAAAAGAAGTCAATACGTGCCGACACTTGACGCTCCTTCCACGTCCACTACGCCTAAACACAAGTTACGCCCGTTGCGTGTGAGCTTGCTTCGTGAAAAAATTTTAAATTCAGATCTAGGTAATTCAGCTTTATTATATTTATGAGGAATTTAATTTTTCCGAAAATAACGTGGAATGCTTTTGATTTAATAATAGCGTTTCGTTGATAATCGTGTACATTTCAATTATTACTTTTTTACACGTAAATGAAAAAAAATCTTTTCCTTCTTTTTCAGAAAGTAATGGTGACACTGACAATGAAACAGATGCTACGTAAGATCTACATGTTTCACATAGTTTAAAGAAGATTTATTTATAAATTATATAATCTTTGTTATATGTATTTGTAGCCATACTGTAAAAATTGATAAAACATCAACGATCGACGAAACAGTGCAAGACCACGAGCAGAGTACGGAAAGCGGTGAAAATTCGTCGATTAAAAAACACAAAGATGTTCGTAAAAGATTGTCTTTTTTGGATTTTGATGAAGAAGACGCAAAAGCGGGCCACAACGTGAGTCAGTCTGAAACTTCAATTGCACTTCGGCATTCGAGTGACCAAGTACATGCAACTGCTCATGTTACCAGCGATGAAAACAGTAAAGACAGTGTCCCAAACAGTCAGTGTACAGAAAAGAGTAATACCGATACTTCTCCCGAAAGAAACTACGCGTCAGATGTACGAAACTTGGCGAAAAAGTCTATTCACGATGACATTATTCCCGAGACTGATCTTGAGGATGAAGATGATGTGTGCAGCACAACTTTTACCCAACACCTAAACCAGAAGATAGAGAGCGATAGTCAAAGTTCGTCGCTGGAACGGAGCATTCGTCGCTCGCCGAAAAACTCGATCATTACAATTACTACGAAGTACAAGCCTCCTAGTCCTGAAAGCGTTCGGAAAAGTATGACGATGTACGGCATTCCGAGATGTAGATGGCAGAAACCATTTTTCGGCAATACACTCGACCTCGCGAAGCAAAAAGAATTGAGCACGAACGCGTCGCGTTTCGACGCGCCTGCATTTAAATCTAGTCTGGAAGAAGTCACGAGTATCAAACTGTGGCGAAGAATGAAAGTCAATGAATTTCATCCCTCTGGAGCGAACATAAAGTCTTGTCACATCAAACGAACACTTGCGGGATATAACACGTTAATGATTAAACCACTTATGGAGCCACCTTCTTCCAAGGATGTTAAAAATTGGATTAGAGCTAAAAAGTACATATTGGAGAAAAATTCTGATGTCAAATCGTACAAGCAGAATAAGGGAAAGGCGTGCAAAAATGTACACGATATACAAGATTCGTCAATTAATGCCATTAATGAAGAGATTAGGCCTCAGTCAGGAATTTCTAATAATTTAATAAGTAACGATTCGAACGTGGACGGACATATGCATTCGCCAATGCCTCAACAAAGCGTGCCGAGTGGAACATCTGACGAAACCAAGAGACTAAAATGCACACAGAACTCCGATAATTCGCAAACATCGGGTAACAGTTTAGATTCTTCTTTAAAAAAAGCACTGGAAAATCCGTTGCTGCATAAACAGGATAAGACACACCTAGGTATTTCATATGGTCAAATCGAATGTTCGTCTAAAGGGAGCTACGGTAACGTGTCGAATGAGAACCTTCAGAAAGCTAGAGCGATAACAGTAGTAAGTTTGTTACTTTAATTCTGTGCACTTTAATTCTACACAAAACCAGGACCCATTTCACGTCTTGTTGAATTTTCCGCAGCATCAGCATCTAACATCATTGTCTCTCGAAGTGCACGTCGTTACTCGGGAAGATCTCCTTCCTGATCCGCAGTATGATTCCATAGCCGTCTTATTTTACGCGATTTACAACGACGCCCCGACAGTTGCCGATGAGCGGATAGAACACGGTGATTATTAAAATTAATCATCTTATGCGAGAAGTGCATTTTATCCCAGATAGCATGCATATCTAAAAGACATCTTTAAGACGACATCGAGTCGTCTTTTAGACGTGTACGTCTAAAAGATATCTTAAAGACATCTTTATGATGTCTTTTAGACATGTGTGCTGTCTGGGATATCTCTCAATGTTTGTCTTTGCGAATTATTTCTTAGAGTACAACGGAAGATTGTCCACGGTTCTTTTCTTTTTTTTTAGGCGCTATTATTGTAAATCCCAATTCTATAAGCGAAAGGCTCAACAAGATCCACTCTGCTAGTGCGATGTGTCCGATCCTATACGTTGCAGCAGAACAGGATTTGTTCAACAGCCTTGTAAGATTGATCGAGCGACACAACCCAGATATTCTACTCGGCTGGGAAGTGGAGACGCTTTCATGGGGCTACGTATTTCAGCGAGCGTTTCATCTTGGTCTTAGTAACTTCCCCCTGAGAATCTCTAAAGTTCCACACACGCAGATATTTACCAGATCTGACGCTCACGCGTTTGAAAAGGACGACGCAGGTGATGTAAAAGTACCTGGTCGCAATATCCTTGATGTCTGGAGAATCATGAGGCACGAAGCAGGTGAGATACTTTTTAATACTTTTTGAGATATAAGTTTTCTGTATGGTTTCTGTATTCGAAGAGACGTGAAGGGTGTGTTACTTAATATCTTCCAGCATTATTGACATATACCTTCGAGAACGTCATGCACCACGTTTTGCACGAAAGAATTCCGTGCCCTTCTTTCAAAACGTTGTCCGCTTGGTGGAAACAAGAGAGTATGATAGTAAAAAGCAGAGTCATACGCCATTACGTCATAAGAGTCACAAGTACTCTCAAGCTGTTGAATCACTTGGATATCATCGGTGAGATTAAAAATCCAAATTGTCTCCGTTACACAAGTCCAAAAAATTCACTTTTAGTTCGTCATTATATCATTAAGTTTCGTAGGCCGCACGTGTGAACTCGCCCGCCTCTTCGGCATACAATTTTACGAAGTTTTCTCGCGAGGCTCGCAGTTTCGCGTCGAGTCTATGATGCTCAGATTGGCGAAGCCCATGAACTACATTCCGATCTCGCCGTCCATGCAGCAGAGAGCAAAGATGCGAGCGCCGGAGTGTCTACCGTTGATCATGGAACCCGAGTCTGAATTTTATACCGATCCATTAATCGTGCTCGACTTCCAAAGTCTATATCCGAGCATGATCATTGCTTACAATTACTGTTTCTCCACCTGTTTAGGGAGGATAGAACATATCGGCCAGTAAGTGTATCTGACATCAGAAAAATCGTATGTAACACATTAATTTGATTTCTTCGTCTGTCAGATACTGGCCGTTCGAGTTTGGCGCAGCGACATTAAGGACAAGGAAGAACACTGCGTTAAAGTTACAAGATAAAATGAACTTTTCGCCCTGCGGCGTAGCCTTCGTGAAGAAAGAGGTACGTCAAGGAATACTGCCGCGTATGCTAGCGGAAATTTTGAATACGCGTCTCATGGTGAAGGAGTCAATGAAGCTGCATCCGGCAGAAGATCGTACGTTGCAGCGCGTACTTCATTCTCAGCAGTTGGGCCTCAAATTAATCGCAAACGTCACTTACGGCTATACATCCGCCAATTTTAGTGGTAGAATGCCGTGTATCGAGGTACGACATTTCATCGGAATACACGACAATGAAACGACAAAGATAATATACGCGTAAATCAATTTGACGCAGTTCTTCATTATGTCTTTGCTACAAAAATTGTTATTTATCTTACGAGATTTTATTGTAGATAGGCGATAGCGTGGTGAGCAAGGGACGAGAGACATTGGAACGTGCGATCAAACTGGTGGAAACCACCCCAAAATGGGGAGCACGAGTGGTTTATGGGGACACAGATTCCTTATTTGTACTATTGCCCGGCAAGTCTCGAGAAGAAGCGTTCACCATCGGCGAGGAGATCGCGGACGCTGTTACCGCGACTAATCCTCCGCCCGTCAAGCTTAAATTTGAGAAAGTTCTTCATCCATGCATTTTACAAGTAAGATATTAAGAATTAACGAGAGATTGACATATATTATGATCGTGATTCTTATGTACAATTCGAAGAGCAATGGTGAAATTATTAAATTTAACATTTCAGACAAAGAAGCGGTATTGCGGATACATGTATGAAACTCGCGATCAGGAGAAGCCTGAGTTCCTGGCGAAAGGAATCGAGACGGTTCGCAGGGATGGGTGTCCCGCTGTTTCGAAAGTAAAAAAAGAAAAAGAAAATTATAAGTACACTGAGAAGGCAGTCCTTGTAATTTTAAAATTAAATATTTGCAGATACTCGAGAGGGCCCTCAAAATCCTGTTTGAGACAAAGGACATTTCTCTAGTGAAGCAGTATGTTAGCAGACAGTTTGATAAAATTTTTCAGCGACGCGTGTCCATCCTGGATCTGACGTTCGCGAAAGAGTTTCGCGGAATGCGTGGCTACAAAGCCAACGCCTGCGTGCCGGCATTAGAGCTGACACGAAGATTGATCAGGAAGGATCCCCGCGCTGTGCCGCGCACCAGCGAGCGCGTTCGCTACGTCATCGTCGCGGGTGCACCGAATCAAGCGCTCATCCACTGCGTGCGTACGCCGATGGAAGTCGTCGCCGATCCGTCGTTAATCCCGAACGCCGTGTATTACATTACGAAAGTCATCATACCGCCTCTCAATCGCTGTTTCAATTTATTCGGGATCGATGCCAATGCGTGGTAAGCGCGTAAAATTACGAATATGAATTGTTGAATATTTAAACGACGAATATTTGTGCGTCACACTACTTCTATTTAATAAGCAATAATCCTGCGCGTTAAAAAACACACTCCGACTCTCCTCCCGAGCAGAGTCGAAAAGTGTCGATTGAGTTTACATTTAAATTAAATTCTAAAGATCTAAATAGATTAAATAAGATAAAATTAAAAAGATCTAAATAGAAAGCGACATGTGTCGATTTGTGTAAAAAATGTCGACTGTGTTCTCTAAAAAGAGAGCAGCCTGTAAGTGTAACTATTGAATACTCTCTTGGGATGCATTCCAAAATAAGATCTAGTCGTAACGCGCGTAATTACCGTTTCATTGAATTATAATCGCGAAGGTGACGAGATATACTGCGTTTACAGGTATAAAGAGATCTCTCACCGTTCGAGTTTCGATCATGCCGCACACTTGGGAGAAGGCAACCCAAAATCTACTATTCGTCAATTCTTCAGTTCTGCGGCATGTATTACCTGCGGGGAACAGACCCATAAAGATATCTGTCCAGATTGCCTTCTGCAACCAAGCCGGACCGTTCTCATACTTCTCGAAAAGAACAAACAATTAGAAAGGAATCATCAACAAATTACTGCCGTAAGTATAAATGCGAAAGTAACATTTCTGCAAATGTGTGTATCATTATACAATATAAAACATGAACGTATTTTAAACATCTTTAAAGTTGTAAATTGCAGTCGGCCAATAATCAAGTTATTTAACAATAATTAATTTTTTGTAGATCTGTCATTCTTGTATTGGACAGTCAGGCGACATAGAATGTGTTTCTTTGGATTGTCCTGTTTTATATCGAATGGCACAAGCTCGCAAAGAGCTTGGGCGAGTTTCTTACATTAACAATGTTATTTATGGAAATAATTGCGGCGGAATCAGGGAATTGAATTCAGTTGCTGAATGGTATTGATTATGGTGGAAATAAATCTTTTATTTACACAAAATGATCAAAAGAAAAGTGTTCCAGTTTTAATTATTACAACACACCTGTGTTGAACGCCTTTTAGAGAATCTAAGGCTGGATTTTACCGGCGGAAAAGTAAAAATCGGAACTCCTTCCTCTTTTTCTTTTTAAGTTTACCCTTTTATGGGAATGCCTTTCAACCGTTACGTTATATCAGCGTATTATCTCTAAAAATTCCTTGAAATTGTGCTTAATCGCAAACACTGAATCCAACACTAGGCACTTAAACTCCTTCAGGTGCTGAATCTTTGTAAATTTTCCCTGACGAAATATGCGGGACGAGGGTCGGGATAGAACGGAGGACCTTACTATTACTAATCACTCGTGTTAGCGCAGAGCTTACACGTCATCTCAAAATCGGAACTCGCGCTGGTGGCCGACAGTTTCTACTCTCCGCCAGCAGAGTGCGTTGTTTACTACAACGTGAGTTCTGATTGGCTTCTAGTGGGTGAGAGTGAGGGGAATAAATGCCTGTGATTGGTTTGAACCAGGGGTAAGCGACCTACCCCCACCATCGAAAATTAGAGGCAGCTGTGCACATTAAGGCTTGTTTACAATCAATTCTTATGTTTAAGGATCGTCTTAAATATCTCACGAAATATTTCTTAGCCAATAAAATGATCTGTATAGCATCCATACGGATCATTGTTTGGCTAAATACCCTTTGAACATTTATTTAAGGCAAAGTTAGATATAAAAATTGACTATAAACAGGCCTTGGCATGCACTCAGTGCACTAATAGATTCGACCAATCAGCGTTGAATTAGAAAACCAGTCTACGACCCTTGCGACGCTACAATGCGACCACTGTAGAACCGGCTTAATATGTACTCCATGACACCGTGTGAACGTTAAAGAATCTCTTGGTTCAATTTCAAAGCGTTTTTGTCGCGACTCTCCGCTCCCTTCCGCTCCTTACCACCCGGACTCTGATAAAGATTGGGCCGTTTTTAACTCGACGACGTTCGCGGCATGTGCTATGGCGCGTGATTGCCTTCGCTCGGCAACGCGGTTGCCAAGTGAATCGCGATCTCAGTTGGATCCATCAGGTAATCACGTCAAACCGTCGTACGCCGAGCGCGCGTATTTATCTCGCCGGGCCGGTCGCGAGTCGCTTGTCGCCGTCCACCGGCCGACTGTCCCGCGGCTCTGATCGCAATCCTTGTTGTTCGTCTGTCATTCAGGTACAATGTCCGTCAAGACGCGCTCCTCCACCAGGATTTGCGTGTTCTGCAATTCGTCGGAGGACAATGAGCTGGAATACGGAAAGATCTACGAGCACAATGGGATTGTCACGCACTACTATTGTCTGGTAGGTACCGCCGACGCTGCGATGGCAATCTTGAGTCTGAGCTTTGACATATCTAATTTCCACTTGCTTCGCTATATCGTCGACTACGTAGTCTGGAAGATGTTTGAGACAAACGCTAGGAAGACCGTTGTCCGTTGAATCGCTTATTCACGTGAGCTTTCTTTCAGCTCTTGTCCTCCAATATGGAGCAAAAAGGAAACGACGATGAAGGTATACTCGGATTTCTCGCTGAAGATATACAGAAAGAGCTTCGCAGGGGGAAGAGATTGGTACGTATACGGTATACGGCCAGAGGCTCGATTCTTGAATTCATTGAAAGGAAAAACCTGTGCAAAAATTCTGCTCTTACAGAAAAGTTGCAAGTTGATTACTAGCATGGTTTTTAGCCAATTGACTTTCAACTTTTCTGTGAGAGCAGAATTTTCACATACGTTTCTTTTTCGTATGAATTCAAGCACCAGGTCCTTGTATCAGACCTCGCTGTGAGCGCTATCTCTTCTCAATCAATCAACTAGCTTGCACAGCGCTTTACAGGATTGGAAGTGACTCATTACTTGTAACAAAGTTATAGTTACAGTTACTTTTGGTAACTCTAACTTTATTACATTTTCTCCATCTATAATTTTAACTTAACTCAGTTACATTAATAGCAGGGTTGGGAAAAAGTATCTAGTTACAGTTTTTTTCACTAAAACTGTAACTAGTTACAGTTACAGTAAGCTGGAATGAGAAAAAGTATACTTGTCTTACTCCAATTTATTGCACTAGTTCACTAGTATGGCAATAGAAAACAAGCCTAGTTACTTGTAACGCGTTACTTTTCAGAATTGGTAACTTGCAGTTGCAGTTACTACAATTACAGTTGTAACTGTAATTTTTATGAAGTAACTTTTCCAACCCTGGCGCTTTCGTATGTCATATTTATATTTGTGCAAAACAAAGTTTTCGAATTACTAAGTAATAAACTATAATTGTTTGAGTTCCACGTATTGTACCAAAGCATTGTGTTGTGTTTTATTTGGTGAAGATTTTAAGAACAGGGTTGCTTATATGTATGGAGCTTAAAGATGTAAGTGGAATTTCTAAAACAGTAATTTCTGTTAAATAACCTTGGTTATCCAACTTTCTCGATTATTTGACCTACTGTCGGTCCGTCATTCGAGCTCTACTGTATTAGAATAACATAATATTAGTTCTACATGTTAATATTTGTCAAGACGTTCACCGAATAGTTACGTTTGTTGAGCTTAATGAGCTCTGATGAGCAAGTCCTCATGGTTCTAGGTGTGCTCATACTGCAGGAAGAGTGGCGCTACTCTAGGTTGCTGTAATTCAAAATGTAAATGCATCTTTCACTTTCCCTGCGGCTTGAAGAACAACTCCCTGCATCAGTTCTTCGGCGAATTCAGGTGAGGGCAAGGTACAACGGCTGGCCGATGTTGGAAGTTTCGTGGCCATCAAAATAATTAATCTGGAATGTTTCAGATCTTACTGCGCAAAACATAGGCCAAAGCAACAGATTGACAACGAAATTTTAAAACAGACTAGCTCGGTAGACAAGGTATTATGTTATATTTGTTATGATAATGTCAACACTGAAGATCTGATGAAGACCTTGTGGGCCCCCTGCTGTAGAAAGGACGCGTGGTTTCATCGCACTTGTGTCCAGGTTAGTCTCGATAAGTAGCTTCACTTTGTAATATGAATACAGATGTACACGTACAATGGACAATCTCATTTCAGCAACTTGCGTTGAGCGCGGGGTATTTTTTCAAGTGTCCCTTATGTAATAATAAGAGGGATTTTCAAAAGACTATGCTGGAACACGGCATTTTCGTACCGAGTCAGTAAGTGGGAATCCAAATTTAGAATTAATTTTTTAGAATCTTCTCACAAATTTTGTCGGATGCTGTATGACTCACCCTGTATATAGCGCATACACAAAATACAGAATAACATGTAAGAATTTGTTTTGTACAATTATAGAGACGCTTCATGGGAATTGGTACCAGACGCATTTCAAGAGCTTTTGTACACGCACAATCGGTGCGATGCATCGAAATGCCTCTGTCCAAAAGGAAGGAAGTACACAAGTAGTAATGCGTAAGTAATGATCGCTTGTAATTGAAACTATTTGCGGTACGGGAAACACAATAGGAACAAACTATAGAATTTCTCTGAAATATCTAGTAAATGGGAGTTGACGCTATGTCGAACTTGCGGTTCTCAAGGCATCCACAAGGCTTGCGGGCGGTTGAAGTGGGCTAATCCGATATGGGACTGCAAAGAATGTACTTCCATATTACGTAAGTATCTGGTAAAAGAAAAATGTATTATAATAGCGTTTATTACTGGCAGAATTCACTGGTAGGCACTGAATGCACACTAAGGCTTGTTCAATTGTCAATCTTATATTTAAAATTGAAATAAAACTTCTTGTTGATCCAACTGGCAATATAATTAATTAAATGTTACATTTGATAAGACGTTTCGACCCAAGTATCAGGTCCTTGTCAAGTAACCGAACTGCAAATCAATATGTCACAACTTTTTGAACGTGGTTAGGTAATGGTTAGGTAGTGGTAAGAAATTACAAATTACAAGTAAGAGTGTACAAATATAACAAACATTTCCATCAAAAAACAAACAACACAATTAACAAACTGACACAGAACTTAAATGTATTATACGACTGCGTGATCAAAGCACTGTAGGTCATGTTTGTTATTTGTTGTTTCCTAATTTTACCTATGATTCAGTTCAACTCGGAACTTTATAATGCGCGAACGTGCTCGCTTAAGTTCAAATAATTTTCTGACGATTTCCTGCGTTGACAATGATCTGTGAGTCTGCTATAATTTATGCTCTGCGAACATCTATGCGCGAGACAACTTTCACATATGTACACTCTTACTTGTAATTTGTAATTTCTTACTACTTTCAATAAGTTGTTCGGTTACTCGACAAGGGCCTGATACTTGGGTCGAAACGTCGTATCAAATGTAACATTTAATTAATTATATTGCCAGTTGGATCAACAAGAAGTTTCATTTCAATTTTATTTATCACTGGTGACTTTAAGTATACTCCTCTACTGGCTTATATTAAAAAATTGTCTCGAATACCTTTTGAAATACTTATAGCCAAAAGAAAAATGACTTATACAGCATCCGTACGGATCATCTTGTAGCTAGATAGTTTTTGAACATGTATTTATGACGAGAGACCTTAAATATAAGAATTGACTATAAACAAGCCTCAGTGTGCATTCAGTGCTTACCAGTTCTGCCGATGAAAAATGCTATAAAACTATTTAAAATCTTGCATATTTCTTTCGTAAAGGTGATTTGAATAAACATGGAAGACTGGACAATGACTCTACAATAAATGGGTATGTATCGTCGGCTTATCTTTTAATCTTATAGATTGTTGAAAGTTGCTAAAATATTTGTCTTAAATTATGATGATTAAATAATTAACATCTCATTCGACAGAGCAATGTCCAGCTATATACTTTTGTGTTTTTTTTTGCTATTAGATCTAGTCAAACTAAGAGTTTTGATATGGACTCCAAATTACATTCAGACTCGGACTCTGATTTAGAGTTGGATTCGAATAGTGATTCGAATAGTATAGACACAGTTATCTCCGTGGGAACTGATTTCCCTGCCATATGTTCATTGGCTAGTACATCTTCCATCTCTTTACTGGATTCTGTTCCAAACGTTGATTTGCGGCCTGGACCACGATCTTTTAAGTTAAAGCAGCAGCAGCAAAGGATTGAGCTAGCCAAATGGTTAATAATAATAATAACAAATATTACGATTTTATGAGATGTTTAAGACCAATGTAACTTGTTATTTTAGTAAGTTGGACATTCCTGAAAAGGATGTAACTGAAACTAGTTCAGAAGAAACTAACACATCGTCATTGAATAATGTCAATGAGAAAAAGGAACCATCGACAAGTATAGAAAATATTCCTCCGCAAGAAAGTGTGAAAGAGGGCTCTCTGAAACAAGAACAGTCGTCTAGCAAGAATAATGAGATATCTAACACAATTAAAAAGGACGCGTGTGTTATTGTAATTGAAAGCGATGATGATGACGATGTGGAGGTAAATGAGTTAAATATATTGATAATTAAATTTTGATAATTTTTAATAGTAAATGGTGCAAAGCATCGAATTTTCAGTAAAGACAATCGGATGTACCACCAAAAACTTATTGATTTTATTTTTTTTGCTTCAACTACAGCTTATTGAATTAAAACGAAAAACAAATGTTCCACCTACACCCACGCAGCAGCTTAAGCAATTGGGTAACCCGCATATCCCTGGTATGTCAACACTGAGGCAAGCTGCTACTCAGATGCTGATAAATGTATTAAAAAATTCAGCAGCAAAGTTTGTCGATCTTACGAACCAAAGTGCGAAGACACTCGGTTTATCGGAAGATGATATCAAGGCACCGAAACCTACTGTATCAAAATCGGAGGCTTCGAACAAGAGTAAATCTGCCGTTTTGGATCAAGTTAGTGTAACGACGACGCTCAACTCCACGTTGGAGCCAGACGATTCAAATAGCAACGATTTGGAAGAGTTACATGTGGGTGATACAGACGATACATCCGACATGGGTATCAAAATCACCAATGTTACTTCCCTGCCACCTGAAGTATTCGAGAGCGTACCTAATGTATGCAATGACATCACATCACATAAGAATACCACTGATACCTCGTCCCTGTCTACAAGTGAAGTGTCGACGCATGTCCTGTCTACAAAACGTAGCGTACATGAAGGTAATTTGACAAAAGAAAACTGGAAATTTATATGTATTTATATATATATATTGTTACATTATAATTGATAACATATTATCTTTGGCAGTGAGTTGCGCTACTGACAACTACAAGAAGATCAAGATAAACGGTTTTGACAACAAATTACAAAACACGGTTTCCGAGTTATTCACACAAATGAAAAACAGATGTACAGCCACTAACGGTATTGTAGCAAATTATACGAAAGAGATAAATAAGCAGCAAAACAAAAGTACATCTGTGAGCAATTCCAACGAGATTGACAAAAATAATAAAGTTCCCTTAAAATCCGAAGTCAACGCCGCAAGCAACACCTACCTGCTGTTCGATAATCAAAACGTCACCTTGTCTACGCAATCTACGTCACTTCATAAGGCGGATGATGCGCGACAAGTGAATCAACTTTTCACGTCACAATTGAAAGGAAACTGTGCGAATGAAAGTACTAACACACAGCAAAGCAAGGAAAATTCTGCTGCTGCATACGGAAGTGCAAGGAAATATGTGACCCTTACTGAGGGCAATCCAGTGTTTTTGCAAACTAATGGTTTTATTAGTTCGCCGTTTTACTTACAGAAAATAGCAAATCCGAACTTGCAAATCCGTACAGTTGATCAAAATGCAGCGAGGACAAGTGAAACGAATACGTATACCATCGATGCTACACCGTCGACTAGCATAATTATGCCGCCCGTGAGAAATAATGTCACTGTGCTCAATGGCCAACCTATGCTTGTGAATCAACCATTGATGGCCAGTTGTGTAAATAGTTCGGAATGGATAGCTGCGCCCATTCAAATCAACAAATGCGGTCCAACAACAGCGTTAAATCAGCAAGAAGCTGCCCCGAAGAGAAATATACCCGCTAGTATATTTAGTGGAAATAACTCCTCAAACATACCCTACGTAAGTAATTAATTAAGAACTCAAAAAGTTGCTACGTTGAACATCCATACAGCAAAGATTTGAAAGATTTCATAAAGCATTTGCAAGATATCTGAGAGAAACATGGTTACTATAATAATTAACGTTGTAAAAGTTAATCATTACCGTAAGTTACTTTTCGTACATTAAATGTTTGTAAGCCTCGCGATTCTCAATCGAGTAAAGTGGAAATACACTCTGGTGAGAAATATGGTGCGGGGAGTATATGTTGTTTTTAAATAAATTTCCCCGTACCTCCTCTCCAGTGTAAATCTTGCGATTCTAACAGTGTGACGGGGATGCAGGCACCGAGGCTGTTCCCGCCAATCGGAAGAGGGACGACCACCCGAACGTCGACCACAAAAGGTGTGTACACACTGCAAACTTCCAAGTGTTTCAATCTGCAAGCTAATCTGTAAATAATTCACGGGTCCGCGCGATGGAGGAGAATGAAAATTAAATGCAGACTCGGAAAACAGTACTCGGCACATGAACGAGGAATTCATTTGGGCATTAACATTTATGTTAATTTATTTCCACGTAGCATGGTCGCCCCAGATGCTTCCCAAAGGGACAACCGTAGTGCCCGTAGCGTCTTCCCACAAGTCACCAACAATTGTAACACCTGTCATCAACCTAGACTGATACCGCGCTACATGAATTTACAAGACCTTAAATTTCAAGTCCGCGATTCGAAGAACATTCAGGTATGTTTCACATAGATTCGATTACGATAACGAGTACTACTTCGCCAATATTGATTATACATGTAATTGTGACGTTTGTTCGTCCAGATGACTCTATACGATATTTTCTCCGTAAATATCGCGACGAAGACGCCCAAGGAGAGTAAGAATCGGCCGGCGGCCGCGTCGCGGAAGTCGAGAGACTCGTCCATCCTTGCGTCTCGCGAAGCTTCATGTAGCTCAGATTACTTCGACAATATCCCGACTGAGCGACAACGCTCCGACAAGATTCTTCGCACCTCGAGGAACGAGAGTTGTTCAGTTAACGACAGAAGTGCATGCGCTAGATACATGACGCGCAGCCAGGACGATGCCAAAGAGAATTTAGATCCGATAAGGTCCAGAATTCTCTCGCGTAGTGGTATATTAGATAATACAAATCCGGCGAATAATATTGATGACCTTGTGACTACGGGTGGTGAGACTGACGGTGAGACGCGTCTCGTTTCCAGTGATATTAATTTAAGTGCATTAAATGAGACAGCGTATAATACTAATGCAGATAGTATTACGGACAGTGCACCGTTCGTCCAAAGTAGTTACGACCGAGGTTCACGGGTCAATGTAGATGTACAGCAGCACAAAGTGCCCGCGTGTAATGCAATTCCCAGGGCTGCCGAAGAGAGACCCGGGGCTAGGCTATTTTGTAAGGAGACTAATGGAATAGTACACAATGTCGAGTTTGATTTGAACGTGATTAATAGAAATAAAATTGTTGAGGAAGTGTTGCAAGATGATGTTGCTGTTCTGACGAGTCAACGTACTGATGGCGACAGAATTAGCAATGATACAGATGATTCTCCGACATTACGGAACGGTTATAAATCTTCAGACAATACGAACGTTATGACGAAAATTAATAATAGTAACATCGCACACGTTTCGAACATTACAAGATTTAATGAACATAGTATCTCGAATAAGCAGATAGATAAATGCGACACTGGGAAGTTCATTCAGCGCATGACGTTTCAGGAAAACTCTGCACGCCGCAATGGTGAGACTAGGACGAAAGATAACGAGTTTAGCTTCAAAGTGAGCGTTGATTTGTGGAGGATACAAAGCCTAATTGATTCTAAACCGGAATTGTTTGAAAATCAAGTTCGTAATGTTAATCAGCGGTGTAGGCATACAAATCGGTTAATCGGCCTAGATTACTGTTCTAGCCAATTAAGATATTGTGATATTAAAAGTAGTGACGGTAATCGTTTGTCCAAAAGTAAAGAATTGCAAAAGTCAAATTATTCGTATAGCGTCGAACACATGCAACGAGATGCCTTTCCCAGTACGAACACGTTCCTACAATATCAGAAGTCGAATCGGGGAATTCAAGATTTCGATAAGGATATCTTGGACAGGTAGAATTGAGAATTCTGTATGATAGAAAGTATAAACTGTGTAAAACAGAAAATATTTGTTAAATAATAGGGTAATACTGAAGGAGAGGGGTTTCCTCGCCGATTTTGATGAAAATTTACAGGATCGTGTATTTTTGTCTGTGAAACACGAATCCGCAAGTTAAAATTGTCGCTCGGCACTAATAAAAGAGTTATAAATTGTTAATTACACAACAATTAACAATTTATAACTCTTTTATTAGTGCCGAGCGACAATTTTAACTTGCGGATTCGTGTTTCACAGACAAAAATACACGATTCTATAAATTTTCATGTATTGAAATAATGTATTGAACTGTTTGAGTTCTTGGTTAAAGCCGCTCCCGTATAGTGTCGATAAGACAGGTATCCTAGCCCCACAACTGTCAGATTTTAACAATTTGTAACTTTTTTTATTAGTGCCGAGCGACGATTTTAACTTGCGGATTCGTGTTTTACAGGCAAAAATACACGATCCTGTAAATTTTCATCAAAATCGGTGAGGAAGCCCCTCTCCTTCAGTATTACCAATAATAGTTTTATAAGTAACTTGTAAAATGTGCAAAATATTTGTTACTGAAAACTCTTTTATTTAGGGGCCTTATTTAACTCTACTCTTTTTTTTTCTATTCCACCCTAGGAGTATCATTAAATTTAATGTTTTAATTAGATTTCATTTCTGCTCTCCTGTATTTAAATGTTAATAAACAAATTCTATGTATTGATATAACATTTGATATAAAAATATAAAATTTTCTACGTTATATTGATGCAATAAAATAGTTTTATTTACGCGGGTTGTTAGGAGGGTGTCGAGTAATCGCAGCGTCAGTTCTTGTTATTTATGTTCAGTTTTCCTACTGCAACGCGGAAATAAAAAATTTTTATACAGCTCGTCAATTTATACTGTCGAATGCAAATGATGATACACGAACGAAACTAATTTATCAACGATATGTAATACAAGACAAAGTAGGATTTCTCATTTCCGACGCTATAATTAAATAGGATTGCAATAAAGAGACGCAGAAACTTAATCGATTTAACACATTTAAGAATGAAACAATCCTTTTATCAATCATGGTTTTCAGGTGATTTTCTTACGGACAATATTATTGCATATAAAATATTCTTAGTTGATCCTAAAACATTACTGCGTGAATCACAAAAACCAGGAATTTTTAAGTCAGTGGCCCGTATTCAGAATCCCCCTTTTTTTTGGTCTCTAAGGGCCAGTTTCACAAACGTCGTTTAACCGCTGACCCATGGTTAATTGATTCTCTGTCTCTTCTTGGATAACAAGATAGAGAAAGAAGGAAGTCGACTGAACTCTGGTTAACAGTTAACCGACGTTTGTGAAGCTGGACCTAAGAGTGGCTTGTAACCAGTCAGAAATATCAGCTTATCAGCGACTTTTATCGATAAACGAGAATTCAGAATACGAGCAATGGGTTGTCGATTGCTCTTAGAGTAGAGAATCATATTTTGGTTTTAAAGAGTTTTTTTTTATTAAATTGATGTTTACATATTACACCGCCGGATCATCTCCCTTAGTGGTACGTGTGTAAATAAGTTGCGCATGATGCTGCACGACTTGCTTGATCAGGCCCTTCTGCTGAAGTTCTATCAGCGCCCGTCTGGCGAGGGATCCCCTGATCTTCAATCTTTCGCTAACGATCGAGGGCGTAATCAACTTGTACTGCGGTACTTCTTTCAACAGCTTCTCATACGTGGGCTTGTCGAAAAGCACTTGATTGTTTAACTTGTCGCGTACTTTTCCCTTTGACCACTTCTGCAAGAATACAGGAAGAAATTTTGTCAAAACGACGTTCCAACGTTGGTTACATTAAAACTGATAAGTAATCCAGATCTCATCAGACTCATTAAATCAGTTTTCGCTTCCACGATTAGTCAAGTTTAGAAGTGCACATCAAATGAGAGTAAAGACTGTTTATCACGAGCGTCACAACGAAGATATTCTATTCAATTCACAAACCTTCTTCTTGGCCTTTCCCCCAGATCCACCCTCCTTCTTCTTCTGGGTCTTCTGAGGCTGTTTGGAGGAACCCTTCGTGTCCTTTTTAGGCGGCTGTAATAACAAGTCAAGCATGAGACACATTCGTAGCTGGGGGGAAGCTTAATCACATCCGAGAATTATAGTCAGACTCATTAAATCAGTATTTTACTGTCATAGTTTATCTAGAAAATTGTTGGTCATCATAGATTTTACAAAGGTTCAAGTCTAAAGTGTCGTCTAGAATGCGTGGAGTGAGCCTGGAGTAAGGAACGAAATCAATTTAATTTCTTTGCACCATCGCACACAAAATTGCACAGCTGCATATGCATAGCATGAAGCACCGTGTCCACGATCCAAGGACTGTGTTCAAGTTCTGGTTCCGAGAAATGTCTAGTCACTCAATTTGCAGCTTTTCTGCAAAAGACGCAAGTCGATTGGTTACATATTTCTCGGAACCAGAACTTGAACACAGTTCTTGGATCGTGGACACAGGGCTTAGGAACCGTCTAAACCAACGAGCATCGAACATTGAATCGTCATATTGATTTACACAATATGTTCATTGGTCCAGATGGTCTGAGGGCCATCGCACACAAAATTGCATAGTTGCATATGCACAGCACAAGACAGTCTAGACCAATAAGCATTTTATGTAAATCAACGTGGCGACTCAATGCTCAATGTTCATTGGTTTAAACAGTTTTCATGCTGTGCCCAAGCAGCTTTGTGTGCGATGGCCCTTAAGCGGGGTTGTTGTTGTTGGTCTGGTTTGGTTGTTGGCCCCTTAAGCGGGGAGCACACACTTTTGCACAAGTGCATAAGCATATGCATGGCGAATTTGGTTGGTCCATTTCCTTATGCATTTGCTTGTAGACCAATTAAATTCGTTACGCACATGCTTATACACTTACGCAAAAAGTGTGTGCTCCCCGCTTTACAAATATTTAAAAAATTACGTCTGTATTTCAGCTTCCTTACATCAAAGGCTTTAGGTTATGGTTCTCTCTTACTCCTTACGCCAGGCTCACTCCATGCATTGTAGGCGACGCTAACACCGTGAAGTATTAACTTTTCGCTTATCAACCAAGTTAGCTTCAGGTAAAGTCGTACAAGTTAACGTAGTTTCAAGACCAATCAACGTTCAACGAAAATGTCCTAAATAAAGGAAGATAAAGACAACGATCGCATTGCATTTGCGCTCAAAATCTGTAACTGAATCATTCGGAATTTACAGAATTCACAGAATCAAAAGGCAGGCATGGAGCTCGGAGAGGTTATGTCGTTGATGTAATGATCTCTCGCAGACATCTCGACGTATTCCTCGTGCGCGATCGTTGTCTTTCCTGTAGCGTTAGATACCGCACTCGATATTCGTCTCGCGAGCGAGGAAATTAAAGTAAAACGGCAAGAATTAAAATATTCGGTACGGCACACGAGTCCGTCCGTGCGACGGACGGGAAGCGCTCCTCGCTTTGTAAACAAGACGCGTCCACCGCGAAACAACCAAAATTTACCATTCTTTCACGAGGCCCTCGCGCGCAATGTGGTACTTATCGGGCGAATCGCGGTATCGCGGCGAGAACGTCGCTCGACAATCGCACGGTTCACACGTGAACTTACCATGGTGGCTGTCGCGCGAGGAAGAGACGGGAAGTCGGCCGTGGAACATGGCGTACGCCATCACTTCCGGCGACGACGACCGCGGCGCCGCCTACGCCGAATCCGGAGGCACTAGAGACCGCCAGGCGTATTCGTTTCCGTTCGCGAGACGCGGCTGGCTTTTGTCCCCCGATCGATCGATCGATCGATCGACCGAGCGAGCGAGCGAGCGACCGCTCGAGCGACCGGGACCACGCGGCATGGCCACGCTCCTCCACCGTGTATCTTCCTGCTGTTCGCGATTCAGTTCTGCGCGCCTCTTCTGACGGCCGGCATGCCCCACGGGACGGCGAATTGACGTCCGCGCGACAGACTCGGGCAGCCGCGACAGGTGAGTGGCGAGTCTCCTGCGAGTCGGGGTTAGGGTTAGGTTAGGGCGTCCGCTCTGTTCCCGACGTGGACCCGCGGACGTGTCGCGTCCGCGCGTACGTAACGTGTGTATGTACGCGCGCGTGCACGCGCGCGCGTGCACATGTACGCGCGTTGCTCCAGTTAGCGAACTTGACGCGTGTCGAACAGCTGCGGACGCCGCGCATCAGCGAGTCACCGCCGCCGTCTGGTGCGGATCAATCGCCCCGGCACCGCGCTTTGTCTCCCCGTCTCTTCCGGGGGAAACACCGCGATTGTTTCCGCGACGGCTGGCGCGCGTCGGGCCTTGAGAGTTTACACGATTTCCGGATAGCCACCTCGGCGGAGCGGGATGTCTTCTGGCAACATATGTACGTGGCACTTGTTTCGGCAGCGTATCTGGGCTTGTCGAAAGGCACTTGATTAACTAATCGCGCACTTTGCCCGTCGACCACTTATGCGAGAATACAGAAAAATATTGTGTCGAAACGATTGGTATATTGAATTTGACAGGTGCTACAAATCTCGCGGAACTACAGACGTTTGCCCTCGCCGTTTAGCTCGAGAGCTTATAAGTGCGCTATAATCTCCCGTAAAAATAGCGAGGCTAACGTTTCGTCCGTCGCACAAATTTTTTTAAACCTACCGATTGACTGCAAGATAGGAAGTTTCTAGAGAGAGAGAGAGAGATCTCTTTTGCCCTGTAGTCAGTGGGGATGCTTAAAAAAATTTGCCGCCTGACGAATTAACACCCGAAAGCTGCGGTCAACGCTACGAATACTTTGAGGCGACTCTCTTCTTGCCGCGAAGAAGATGCCTTTGAAGCATCGTCGACTGCAGCCTACGTGTCTTCGCTTTAACTCATTGTCGAAGCTCTTTGTTTGGTTTTCTTAGCAACGCTTGGGCCCGGTTTACAATGAGCTGTCGGTCGTGAGTCAGAGGTTGGAGCTATACGTTGGTCCTTTTTCTTTCATCCAGAAAGAGAAAGGATTGACGTACAGCTCGCTAGAGACCGGGCCATATTTTTGTACGCCTACCTCTTGTCTGTCTTGTCACGACACCAGGACCTTCCTCTTGCAGGACAGACTCGGGGCTTGTAAGATCAGTGTGATTCCAAGATATGCTGCCACTCTCGCACAGTCAGCGCGACTCGCGCTCCAACTTCCGCAGCAGGGTCAAGGAGAAGCTGCTGAGCTGGAAGCGGCTCATCTTCTCCGACCAGAACACTCGCAATTTGTTCCTGTTCCTGATTCTCAACCTGTCCTTCGCCTTCGTCGAGCTGCTGTACGGAATATGGACCAACAGCCTCGGTCTGATCTCAGACAGTTTCCATATGTTCTTCGACTGCACCGGCCTGCTGTTCGGTCTAGCGGCGTCCGTCATCACCAGGTGGCGGGCAAACGACCGATACTCGTACGGGTACGTCAGAGCCGAGGTCCTGGGCGGTTTCGTCAACGGGCTGCTCCTGTTGTTCATAGCCCTGTTCATCATGTCGGAGGCGGTGGAGCGGGCCATCGAGCCGCCGGAGATCAAACACGAGCGGCTCTTCGTGGTCTCCGTCATGGGGCTGCTAGTGAATTTAGTGGGGATATGCGCGTTCAAGCACGGCCACGGGCACGGGCACGGCCATAGCCACGGTCACAGTCACGGCGCGAGGGGACACCACGGTCATTCTCACTCGCAGAATCACGAGTACTCCTCCCTCCTGAATCACAACTACGACCATCACCTCGAAATGGAGACGTCCTTCAGTGGCACGAACTCGCAAATCATGAAGGGCGTGTTCCTGCACATACTCGCGGACACCCTCGGGTCCGTCGGGGTGATCATATCGGCGGTGCTGATGCAAATGTTCGGCTGGATGATCGCCGATCCGATTTGCTCTATGCTAATAGCAGTATTGATAGTGTTAAGTGTAATCTCATTGATGAAGGAGTCGTGGGAGATCCTCATGCAGAGACAGCCGGTCGCTCTGGACCACATTCTGCCGCAGTGCTACAACAAGGTGACGCAGATACCCGGCGTCTACAGCGTGCAGGAGCCGCACTTCTGGACTCTGTGCTCGGACGTGTACGTCGGCTGTCTGAAACTGGAGGTGGCCCGAGAAGTGGATCCCAAGTCCGTCGTGATGACCACCCAAAAGATTTTCCAGACGGCGGGCATTAGACAGCTCACAGTCCAGCTCGATTACGCCCCTATGTGATCCACGAGAGGCGTCACGTGCATCGCGGACTGCTGTTACGAGTACAACGGGGGTGTGCCTGCCTGCAAGCTCTGTCACGAGGAGACCGGGGACACGAGGGCGCCGCAGAATGTCTTCGCTACGTCAAAAGTCTGTGATTGTGCGCACTGGAATGGCAATCAGTATCACCTTGGACTACAAATCGTTTGAGGATCGTGCATGCCTTAGGAGAGAAACTGCTGACACGGGGGGCGATTGAAACTTTCTAACAATTTCTAACCGAATCAAATTAATAACTTCAAACCGTTTCTAAAAACACGACATACGATAAGAGATGTGTTTCTCATCTTGATATTAGACACTAAGACGAATGGTCAGTTACATTTTCTCCTCTCCGGAACAAATGTGTCCACATTTGTTCAGTTTTTATATAAATACTTTACCTCTGTCGGAGCAAAGGCTCATCTCTGTTTCTACGAGCCTTGACTTGTAATTACATTCATCGTTACAAGGAAGCATTTCAGATTCCGGTTTAATTTAGCTGTATCGTAATATAAGAGTAGCATTGCTTAGATTTTTTATTTTTGCAATGATACCTTAAGGGTGCGTTTGTATGAATATTTTTTAACGAGACTTCCGAGAACAAGAGATAGTGCTGAATCTTACATGATTTGTACAATACGAACTGTTTGAGAACATTCTCGGTTTCTATAAGATTAAATTACCATAAGTTTGGAATGGGGCAATCGTGTGTAAGGACGCAAGCGGCCATAACAATCTGGAGACAGCTGTAGAGAGCTAGTCATATCTGTGCAAGAAATGAGGAAAGTAGCGCAAATAACACGCATAATGTGAAAGAATACTTTTACACGAGAATATACCTACCATTTTTATACAATGATCTAAAAGAGGGGTTGCTATTTCTATTTTTCCGTCCGTGCTAAGTATTACCTTCCTCTTTACTGCAATACTCCGAACCCAGAAACGTGACTTAGCATGCGTGGAACATTTGTTGAGTGACCGTACCGGTTATGTATGCACAATCTGTTGGACGAATTTGTGTAATATTATTTGTATATAATTTATGATTATGTTATTAGGCTATTAGTGCCGATTGTAGCCAAATAAAATGGAATATCGCAAGTTAACGATCGAGTGAAAGGCCGAAGCTTGTGCCCGAATCCGAGGGATCTGGACGCGAGAATTCTAAAATATCTTCTCCTTGATTCACCATGTAGAACACTTTCTTCCTAAACGCAATGTCAACGTTTTGGATCCTGAGAGCGCTAAAGACGATCGAGAAATTGTTAAATGCGATCTTTCCTAAATCTTAACTTCACGATTACATAATTAAACGACCAAATACATGGATTTGTAAGTAACGATTTCATTGCATCTCTAAGAAATCAAGTTGACCAGCAGGAGCGACATTTACATTCCACGTGTGTTATATTAATATATATTATAATATATTTATAATCAATACGCATAATATATATTAATGTACACGCGCACATAGAGAAGTCAAGGCATCGATTTGTGATGACGCAGGCCAAAATGTTGTGTTATGGATAATAGGATATTTGCAATAGGACTTTCGATTAGGTTCATTTTACTAAAGAATATATTGTTATCTATCACGGTCGCGTGTCAGACGCGATATAATTAACGATATTTCTTTGCGATAGTTTTAGCGATAATTCTTTGCTAAGACGAATCGAGCGCGTTCGAGAGGAAACGCGATAATAGGTATGCGAATCTTGTTACGTTTTCCTAATTACTGTCATTGTATAGATTTATAAATGCGCGGATTGCGTGTGATTATTATAAAAAAGAAATATGTAAGTAATAAAGATACGTACTTGCGAAACAGGTTCTCCGTCCTTTAACAATTCGCTGCTTCCGTATGCCTGTTCGAGTAATTCGTTAGTTTTTCACGATTGTCTAATTATTTATAATTTCTGATAAATGAAGGTCGTTTAATTTATCATTAATTGGCGGTCTACAATTATTAGCTGGTACTCAGGTAATCGGACAAGTTCTGTGCAAGTCACTTTTTAATTTTTATACGTCGCACTGATGAGAAAACATTCTTTTTTATCTTAATAACAATAGCACAATGTGAAATAAGTCACAACTAATAACTTAATGCCGTATAAGTTCGTCCTGCAGGGCTCGCCCCGCGTTTGCCAAGTGCTCGAATCGCGATTTGCAATTACTAAGATGCAGTCTTCAAACACATATTACATTTATTTGGAGAGGATATGTGTACACATATAAATACATAAATATTTATAATAAAATTACTCAAGTTGATTCCACATGTGGGTACGTTGGGCGCTTATCTCGCAAGTCGCCGCGGATATATCGCTTGGCCAGCGTGTATTTTGTATATGTATATTCCTGCGGATGTTCCTCTATCTTTCTCTCCCTTTCTGTCTGTGTATGTATGTGTAATATCAGTTTCAGTCTTGCCGAGTGTTGGCTTCCTCGTAAAACGGGCTCACAAATGTTTAACAGACCGCGCGGCGGTCACCATCGCGCCGCGCGGTATAATCGAAGAGACTCTTATGTACATAGCAAACTATCAAAAAGTGACAAAATTCGTCGTACACACGCTCGAGCGGGAGCACTTACGTATCTAGTCGGAGACAATAAAGGATTACGCGGGATGGTACTGTAGGATTCGGAAAAATGCTATGAAAAGGGAGAGGAAATCTCTTGATGGGATCACCTTTCTCCGCAACGCCGGTCAAAAGTCTGAGATCCAAGTAGAGTGTTCCCTAATTACATATCAATACTTTAGGAAATGAATTTCGAGTCCAAAACAAATATGTGCATACAGTCCATTATTCGCCATTTTAAAATATTCGAAATGCATATATATGTGAATATGTATATTACAATTATATTGTATCATTTATAATGACACTTTAAAATATTTAATGACAATTTTATACGCGTAGTCACGTAAGCTCTCTTCTTCTCTTAACTCTAGAGATTCGCTCCCTGAAGTATTGATATATAATTAAGACTCATCCTGCATGTTAAGAATTGTGTAAGTAATTGAATCTTATTTTTTCAGAATTTCATTTTTCGAAAATTGATTATAAAATGTTCAAAGTTAAATATTTTAAAGATGCAACAAATTCCTTTTTAAAAATACCTTTGACATAAATTTGTTTAACTCGTTAATTAAATTCAAAAAGCAAAGCTAACGTTTCTATAACATCGTATAATTAGATTTTATAATAAAATGAAGATCCAAAAATATTTGTCCGTTTATATTATTATGTAGATATTTGAATATATTTTATCTCACGGTTTTAATTTTTTTATATGTTAATAAGTGATGGGCAGACTTTTGACCGGCGCTATGTACAAGACGAAACTTAAAGATCAGCGAAAATTTCCCCGCGTTTCGCAAATCGTTTCCTTTTATTTTCATTTGTGGTTCCAGTTGAATGGCAGTTATCATTGGAGCACTGACAATGATCACAATCGATCGATCGAGATCACATCTACGAAAAATCGTTTTCGGCTCGTTTAAAATGCGGTCTATTGGAATTTTTTCGGCGCGCGATCGTAGGAACGATCCTTCCTAAAACCCTTGCGCGACATCGAAAAACGATACTAGGACTCTCGCAGCCCGCATTTAGCGTTAAACGTGATCGGGCGACTGTCGGTCCACGATGACGTTCGAGGCGATTTTTTTCTTCTCTTATTAGGCAAAAACCTCGAAATGTCGAGTTTAGCGCTAATTGCGGTGCGCGAAGAGCGCGGATTCTCAAGTTTTACGATTTGGCAGTCGTCTTAATTACAATAATTAATTACTTTATACAACAATAGCCTGCGTCGAATGCCTGCTTATATGTATCTTCTATCGTAAGAATTACGAGTATTCGAGACTTTCTTTTCCTTTCACGCCGCCGCGAAAACGCACGTACGCATGCATGTGTGTATATATATGTGTTTGTTTCTCATGTGCCTACCGTTTAAAATTTACTCTATAAAATTTCTCCAAATCCCCAACAACGCGCCACCCTCTCGGTAAAGCCACCGGCATCTCGGCCCGACATCTCGCCGATCGCGAGTGACGGTCGATTGTAACATTTAATAATAATCGTGACGATCGTGATGTGATCTATACCGCTAATAATATATTACTCTGAATCGTATCTTACATCTCGATCTAACAATAACGAACGATACTTATGTATAATCGCAACAGCCTCTTTTTTTTCCCTCCGCTTGAACATCTTTTCCCCTCGCGCGACAAGTATTCCCGCATTTCCCTCTTATTTTCGCACTTCTTCGCCAACATAAAAATGCCAGGGAGATAATTAGTCCACGCGGCATTGAATATTTCCACCTTCGTTTATCCAACGGAATCGACTTCCTCTAATAATAATAAGATTTATACGTAAAAATTAATTGGCTATAATTATAATTGTATAAAGAGATAAATTGAAGCAGATCTTGCTCCTTGCTGAAAAACAAATATCTCGAGATATATGAACAAAGAGAACTCACCTTATGCCTATGAAAGTGAAGACATTTTATACAAGTTGTAGAAAATATACGTGGAAAAAGATATGAAAAATAAGACAAATTCTATATGCATAAATATGTCCATGCTTAAAGAATATTAACATCCGTCCTGCAAACTCGCAAGCAAATACTTTGAAAACGAACGCTTCGAAGTGAGAGACAGCATTTCATATTTTCTAACAGACGTTTTTGCTTTGGTATCATTTTTATTCGTGCGACGCGATTCCGACGAAAAATGATGCCGTCAAAAATCTTGCTGAAGCAGCGAAAGTGACGTCCTAGACCACTATTGATTGCGTGTTTGCGCTCCTTTTAGCGTCCCGTCAGTTCCACCGAACGCGTTGGATGAGCGAAAAAGCGTAGTGCATCTCTCATTACCTTCGAATCGTCCTCGAGATCTAACAAATCGCTATAATCTATAGAGTCTAGATCGTAGGTGAGCGCGCCTGACGCGCAGGAAACGAAATCACAGTAAGACGAAAATTCGCAAAGTTAACCCGCATTTCCTCTTTTTTTTTTCATACATCTTCATCTTCTTCCTCGTTCTACACGCGCCTCACGCGGCCGAAGTCGATGCACTCTTCCTTCGATATCCGTCGCTCCTGGAAAATCTACATTTATATCTTCGTCTTATCTAATCCCCTTTCCGATTCTCCAGGCTTCTCTGCTCGTCTCTCTCTTTCTCTCGCTTCTCCCTTCTGCAACACGATCTGTTGACTTAATCCTTTCGATCTCCCGGGACTCTCCCAGTTCCACAGTCACGTCCACGAGGAGACCAATCGATCTCGTCCGATCGACTCTTCTCGTTCCCCTTTACCTCGCGGTAAACACTGTGTGCCAGGATAACTTCCTCCAAATTATCGCCGGCGATCCCTTCATTTCTTCTTGCCCCGGCCGCCCTTCTGGAGCTTCGTGATCTTCAGGCGGCAGCTGGAGCCGCCGGTATAAACCACCTCCGTCCTGCCGCCCTCCTCGACCGCGGCCACCAGAGCCTTCACCGATCGCACGTGCACGTCCTTGGCGCTGATCTCCAGGGTGGTGCCGGGGTAACGGTCCCGCACGCACTTACCCACGCTGGTGGCCTGCGCCTCGGTCAACTCGACGCCGTCCAGGCACAGCCAGGTCAGGCACTGCAAGTGCGTGAGGATCGTCTGCACGAACACGTGTTCCATTTGCACGCGCTTGGCGCTGTCGGTGACGATCAGGCCGTTCGCTCTGAGGAAGCTCAGGCCGCACAGCTTGAGGTGCTTGGCGATCTGTCGCATCGTACGATCGCTGTCCTCCAACGTGATCCGCCAGAAGTTGATTCGGAGCGACTGCAGACTGCGGAAGTGTGCCGCCAGGCAGCAGAAGAACTGCTGCAGGATCTTGTCGTCGATGAAGAGCAGCGAGCCGCTGCTGCCGCCGATCGTCGATTTGTCCAGCGACAGGTCGAGCTCGCTCAGCGACGTGAAACCCGCGAGGAACGGCAGCAGCAATGGTCCGCGCAGCGCCAGGCGATCGTTCACTGTCACCTGCAATCAGAAATAATTCCGTCGGCAGATCTTATCGGGCGCAATTTGTTTCGCTCGTTTACAGGTTGAGAGATAAGACGAAAGAAACATACAAGAGTGTCATGGACTTGGCAAGCAATTTCTCATCTCTATGAGCTTTTTCGTTGCATTTTGGCTTGCTTTTCTTTTCTAGTCCTCGAGCGATCGAAAGAAAGACGCAAACTAAATTTTAAAGAGTGCCTGTTTAACAACGGAATCTGACTCCTCGTTTAATCTTAAATGAAATATAATCATATTAAAATTAAAACTTTTAATCCCTTTGATTTGTTTAAGAACTTGAGAAGATCAATTTTCAAGTCGAAAATACAAAAATTTGCTAAAAATATTTTGCTGCCATAACTATAAATTTTTAAACCACAGCAAACTGTTTGCTGTCGCATCCGATACAATAGGCACAGTTAGCAAAATATTTAGCTAAATGTTAGCTGTCCATATTTTTACAACTAAAATTTAGTTACCACATGCAGTTTTTAGATACGGCAGCTACATTTGTTTCCCGTGCGTACCTTCAAGAAAGGCGTGTTAGATGGTTGTTCTATTTTCAACTAGAAAATTAGTTAAAATAAAGGCACTTAATTAAAAACTTGAGACAAGCAAAGACGGATCTTCGTTAAGGAAAAACCGAATTGCAAATTGGCAAAGATGAGGCAACGCGGCTGCAAAGTTTGGCAATTTATTTTAGGGATGTCCTGTACGGAGGTGAAAGGGGTGGAATTGGGGATCGGTCTAATGCGAGGTCTACGAAGACGCGAACGTCGGTCCGGGCTGTCCTTTATTTATCGCCGTCGTAGTGTAATTATTGTCGGTCGACAATAATTGCGCATGTAATAGAAAATACACGGTTTATAGATAGGGGTGGAAAGGAACACGAGATCTGGCGGACAGGAGATCTGGTTCCGAGCACGGAATCGGCGTTTGCGATGCAAAGTGAGATTAGATAGTTTAGTATCGTCCTTTCTTCTTTTATAAATACGAATGGCTTTTTTATCCGAGCGAGAAATAGCTAACGATTTTATTTTCGAATACGTATTCATTGTATCCATAATCGAAAAAGGTTGTTTCTACATTTTCGTAAAATCTTACAATCTCATTTGTACAAAAGAAATCAATATTATACTCTGTCCTCGCGGGGGAAATTTTCTAGTATCTCTGGGTGGATTAAAAATGAAATCGGCAGATTGGAAAAACAGATTAGATCCAAAATGTCACTCGAAAAATCTGAAAATGCTTGTCGACGCGAAAGCGGACTTGAAAAGAGCCGATCAAATGTTTTAAAGCATGTGCGAGGCTCTTTCCATTTACATATATGTACATATTTGTTCTGCGGATAAAACTGCAAATTGGGTCGCTACTCGCGTGTTATCTAATCTCTCTTCAGTCTCATGCTGATGCAGCATCAATTACAAAATTTTCTCTTGTTACGTAAATTGAACTTCAAACAGTATTTAAATATCCCGCATGGTTGTTATATAAAAATCTTGAGAGAAATAGCGCACATTCAGCGCACGTCGCACGTCGATTCATGCGTTACTTATTAGAGCGTTCATTCGTTAGCTTCAAATTGCTCTCATTTAAAAACTACTGCTCGAATGCAATTCTGCCAGAGGGAAACGAATTCGAATTTCGCGTCTTTCTGGTGCCGGGAATCGTACATGGTGCGCGAAATCCGGGATATTATATACATGTACACATATACACGGGCTAAATGATAATTAATATCTGCCGCTTTTCTG